TCGTCTGTAAGTGGGCATTAAGTTTGCAAGCTGTGACGAGCATGTGCATGGAAGAGGGATGTCAAATAAGGGCAACGGTCTGCAAGAGATATCTTCACGGAGGAGTGGGGTTGGGCCCCGCCCGACAACATTGTGGCAAAAGGGCAAGGTTCTGTCGGGATCAGTGGGATTGGGGCCCTGCTCGACAACTTGCGTGTTTATGGACTCGATCCATCGACGTCGAAGTTATAGAGGGGGACGCCCAGCCCTGCTGACCGACCTCCACAAGTTAGATACCGCAAAAGGAACATTGTGGTTCCTCTATGTTTCTTATCTTATAGACTAAGGGGCAGAGAGGGATCAAGTTGCTATGTTTTTTTGTTGTAGGTTACTTGTTCATAGGATACATTCCGCCCACATCAAAGAGCCTTGAAAGTCCCGCAAGCATGGATAGGCAGACTGAGTAGAAAATGATGAAACTTTAATTGATGTGCGTTAAGCAGTGGTAATCGTGGCCTCGACTTCGTTGTGCAGGGAATGTATTCCGATGTGTACGGTGGATACCAAAAAATTGTCTAACAATGCCACAGTAATTCCTCTTCGCTTCTTATCCTCTGGACTAAGGTGCAGAGAGGGTCATGTCGTAACATTATTTTTGGGTACGAAAGTTCTCCATAGAATGCATTCGCCTCACATCGAAAATGCCTTGAAGGTCGGATTACATTCGCCCCATATCGAAAATGCCTTGAAGGCCGGATTTCATCATGGCATAAACTTTTAAGTGAGTCTAGCTTGGCCACTCACTCAAACAAATTGTTGTTCGTCAATCTATCATTGAGGAGGATGCATGCTCTGCATAAAAAAACGTCAATTCCCGTTATAACAACATTCTACGTCAGATTGTGCACAACAACATCATGGTTATTTGTAGTACACTGTATCTTCATTGCTCGAAAAAATCCTTCAAATAAGTATTAACTGTGTGTTGGAGTGTATTAAGGGTGTGCTCGAAGGTGTACCTTACATTTTTATGTCAGATACATCTTTTACGTAAGTATGAGGTATGTGTGTGGACGTGTTAGGAATATGCAAGGAGCTATATTTCATCACTTAATGAATCATTTGTAAATGGTACACAAAATAATATACTATTTAAACGAGTAATGTGTTGCATGCGTTTTCTTTACTTCATTTGGATTAAATCTTGAACAAAAAGAGACGTCCATAGAGGAGCATGCATACATAGCAGACAATGTAGGGAGGTGTACTACATAGGGGTAAAGTGGGTTCCAACACAAATATGAATTGTTATATCTAACAATTCTCTGCCTCCAGAACCTCGCCTTGGTTCCGGCAGAGCTCCCGCAATCAGTGGGCGGACCTCCCATAAGGTCTTATTACGGTTCTACGGCTTTCTAATCCCGCCTGTCGCTATTATCTCTGAACCAATAGACTAGACTGAGCGTGAGAAGGGCAAAAGAAGCAAAGTCAGTCTCTCAAGATACAAGAAACGCTCAACTCAAACTCGCGTGAGAGGGCCTTGAAACCTTCAAATCTTCCGAGGGCCCCGCAATGGTGGCAAAAAACACAGTGGAGATGGTCAAATCTTGGTCCATGCGTAGAGTAATGGCCTTCTGACAGACCTCCAAGTCGCAACATTAACCGCCTTGCAAAGCTTGATCACACCTCGAAGTCACAACGCTTCCACTTCTGACAAAAACCGTAGCTACGCAGCCTAGAAATTGACAACATCTGAATAGAGCACACCACCCTTGTGCTCTATTTAAATTGTGGGCAGAACACAACACTAAGTAAAACAAACGAAGTAAGCGTGTGACATGTGCACAATGAACGTATGGTAGGTGCACAGTGAGGGCGCGATAGATGCACAACGAACGCACAACCAACCAGCAATCCACGCTGCCACAAAACAATTCATAGTGTTTCTTATTCAACTTCATTTTACCTTCTCCTTGTGTCCACTACTCTACTCTATCCTCGTATTCCTTTGTTGCGTCCGCTCCTACCCATTGCAGTACTCGATAACTGGCAGATGCGCCTCTTGTTAGAGGGCGACCAGGTGCTTGGTCTGGTGACTCCGGCCTTTATCCAATGAATATGTCCCTTATAGAAGTCGGGATCTGTTGCACATTTTAACACTGGAATTATTGCTGTTATTCGATAAATAGAGGAGTGACATAAAATAAAAGATATCTAAGTTAATGAGCTAGTTGCAGTTCCACAGTGCAAACGTTCACACTCTGACCACATGCGGTTAACCAGGGGTGTTATTTTCGACGAATTTTGCACCGAATTGCACTGAAACCTATGTTACAAATGGTCCGGAGATCAGACGTCTCCCCGGACGTAGGGACCCCCGTCGTCCGGATTTCCGGACAACGACTTTTTGGCACTAAAAAAAAAAAAAAAAAAAAAAAAAATTATAACAGTGTTGCGCATGCCATGGAGACCCCCCATAAAAAAATTCGGAATTTTCTGAGCATTTGGTGATAGCGTGCTATTTGGGGKGGGRGGGGGGGTATGAGGGGTTTTGGTGGGGATAGGAGGGATATAGGTGGGGATTAGAATCTTTGAAGAAGTTTATCTTTTTTTCTACTGGCTCAAATAAGCCAAAATTTTGGTGGCATACACCTTACGCAAGGTAGAAGCCACATGATTGTTTTCAAAAAAAAAAAAAAAAAATTTTTTTTTTTTTTTTTTTTTTTTTTTGCGCTAGGTCGAACATCCCCTTCCGGTCCGACGTCCGACCAGACGTCCGGTCGGACGTCCCGGACGGTCAGGGGGGTCCTGGACGTCCGATAAAACAACCTCGACTGAAACTGTCATATTGTGCTGATTTTTTGTTTTTTTTTTGTTTTTCTTTTTGTGTGATATATACGTGCTTTAGGGTACATCGTGTGTCAAGTTTTGACATGTTTGGATCAATAATGAAAAAGTTGGCATTTTTTTGAATTCGTTGGACGCTTCATTTTGACTTGGACAGTGCCTTTGTGTTAGGGTTTCATAGTGTTTTTTTGTTTTTTTTTTCGTTCTTTTTGGCCTGTTTCCTTTTTTTATGTTTGCACTATGGTCTCATATCGTTTGTTTTTAAAATTTTTGATGAAATTCGCACCGCAATTGCCAATGAAAACGGCAAATATTTGGGCCCCCCTTAACCGTCTCTCACTCACACGTGCATAACTTTTGAGACAAGCATATGACTTTTGTCGTGCATGACTTAGTCTCTGAGACAAGCATATGACTATTGGCAAGATCAAATGGGCAGCAGGTGTAACGAGTGGTCGCAACTAAGCGATTGCAGAAGGGCACGTAGACACATCACACGGACCAGCCTACCAACAGAACACCGAAGAATCACGGGACATGAGACGATTTACCGAGATACCACAAGGTCTGGCTCCTTGGACTGCAGGTGAGTTCCCTCTCCTGAGGCTAGTTCCAATGGCAAGGTGCGAGCAAACCACGCAATCCAACACAGCCCACCGCATCCGCTCATTCGATTGGTTGTGACCAATATTCTCCCCGGCCAGGTAAGTACTTAATTAAAAAAAAAAAACTAAGTGAATCTTCCCCCTGGATATGGGAAGATGCACCACCATATGTCGCCTATTGCTGCCGCCACGTCTGCCATGCATGTGGCCAACCTAGAGCATAAGCCACCGCCTAATTCATAAACGCACCTGACCCTAATCCTAGTCGAGATGCAAATGGCGAACACGAAGGTGAGGAGGGCGACCCCAATAAACATGAGGACGAACTCTACGAGGGGGAACACCACGATGATGCCACTAAGCGGAACAACGTGGCGATTGCGAACAGGAGTGGGCTTAAACAACACGACGACCTCCGTTCAACTTGAATTTGGAAATGAATCTTCCCCTAGAACATGGAAAGATACACCCTCTAAGAGCTCTTTCCCCACCTCATCGCCAGGTTCTCCTCACAACTTGGCTCTACAACGCAACCCTTGGTTCATCCTGCATCGTCTCTCTCTCTCTCTCTCTCTCTCTCTCTCTCTCTCTCTCTCTCTCTCTCTCTCTCTCTCTCTCTTTCTCTCTCTTATTAGTGCGCGTTCTTTCTTCTGCTGGCTCGCATTCCTCGCGTGTTGCACCTATCCAAGTCGGGATTTAGATAGGTGAGGCAAACGCAACTTGGCCACAAGCTCAACCTGAAGAGTGATGGTGATGAGCAACGCTCAACAAACACAATCGGCTAAGGGAGCACTTGGACATAAGCTTCAACCAAGATCATCGGGTAGAACGTAAGTACGACCAACGATCCGATCATGGAGATTACAACACAACGACCTCCGTTCAATTTGGGAATGAATCTTCCCCTACTAGAACATGGAAAGATACACCCCCTATGACCTCTTTTCCCCACCTCATCGCCAGGTTCTCTGCACAACTCGGCTCTACGGTGCAACCCTTGGTTCATCCTCCATTGCCAACTTCCCGAGGTGAGTTTCTCTCTCTCTCTCTCTCTCTCTCCCCCCCCCCCTACTAGTGCGCGTTCTTTCTTCGACTGGCTCGCCCATATATTCATTCGCCTTCTGCGCTCTCTGGCAGGCAGAAAGAGATTGAATCTTCTACCAAGACATGGGGGATACATGATTCCTCGTGTGTTGCACCTATCCAAGTCGGGATTCACATAGGTGAGGCAAACGCAACTTGGCGACAAGCTCAAAAGTGACGGTGATGAGCAACGCTCAACAAACACAATCGGCTGGATAGAAGCTTCGACCAAGATCACCGGGTAGAAGGTAAATACGACCAACGGTGAGATCATAAAGATTACGAAGACGAGCAGCATCACCACAAAGGTCGTAATAACAATCAATCACCACAAAGCGCAACATTTCGATAAATACCGGGATGATCACGACGACGATAAAAAAACACCACGAGGAAACCGGATTCGTCGATCTCCACGAGGGAGACGAGCACACCTTGAGGATGAACACCTGAACCAGAGTCATGATGATGAGCAATACTCGACCGCGCAACCCACAACTGACCCCCTCTCCAACACTCATCATATATGCAAAATGAGAATAAATCTTCCGCTAGAACAAGGGAAGATACATCGCCCGTTGGCCATGACCCCCGCTATGAGCAAAGTCGCGATCCGGATGGTTGCACTGAGACATCACGGTGACGACGAGCCCCCCAATGTCGACGCTTGCCTGTACAAGAATGACCCTGATGAAGATTACCATGATGATGGGGTAATACAGCCAGTCGGAAATGAGGGTGGTGACCACGTGGCGACCAAAACGACTAGATGAACCACTTTCTCTCACTCTCTCACTTGTGTCCCCGCTCGCACTTGTTCCGCTACTGCGCCCGCTGTCTGCACCACTTTACCTATGTTCCGCTACTGCGCTCAGCTATCCCGAGGGAAACTTCGAACGAAACCAACTACTAGACGGTTCGATCATTCTTTCGCCCCTATACCCAAGCGCGATGAACGATTTGCACGTAAGTATCACTGCGAGAATTCACCAGAGTTTCCTCTAGCCTTGCCCTGCTCAAGCGTAGTCCACCATCTGTGGGGTCCAACATGAAGCAGGCCTGCGCACACTCAAAATCTCTCATAGTGGATCGAGGTTGGTGGACGATGCACCCACGGAGGGTTCCCTCCACTCAGGCTCCTTCCCCTCGGTTCGTGCTTCAAGGTGGATAGAGCAGCGGAGTTTGGTCAGCTCCCTGAACACAGGCCATGATAATATTCTGGCGTTGGGGCTACGACCCCAAGCTATCCTCATGGAACTGGCCGGCCCTAGGTGCTCGAAAACTGCAGTATTTTACTCATCTCCATCCGCACAATTCGTACTTAGCTTTGTATTTCAACAATTCAGGAGTGTACCAACAATGTTGGGCCAGTTGGTTCCAGCACCAGTACCAGTCTGAAAAACGAAACTCCGAAAAGATTAAAAAGAAGAAAAGAAAAAGACTTGGAAATATGTCGAGGGGGAGAGGACCGTCGGCACCCTTGCATCCCATCAGTCGGTCTCGAAATCGGGGCTGACGATAAAACCAAAAGGGATAGCCTCGTTGGGCCCTCAACCCCTCGGCTCCTTTCTCGTTGCTCCTTCCCTCCTCTATTGTCGGTTGCTGGCCTTGATCCCTACCCTAGACCTGTTGCATGAAAGTCCAAGGCACACGATCTGGATTGAGGTCCCAGACTCGGGCGCGGCCAGAGGGGCAGCAGGGGGAGGATCCCTTGCGAGAGGCGTGTGCACATGTTCAGCCGTTTCATCAGGTGAGACAGGAGGAGGATGAGCAGCATGAGCAGGTTGAGGAGCGGCAGGGGTGGCCCGAGCCGCGGGAGCTGCACGACGAGGATGAGCAGCCTGCAGAGGAGCAGCAACATGAGCAGCAGCAGGAGCAGCAGCAGGAGCAGCAGCAAGAGCAGCAGCAGGAGCAGCAACAAGGGGATGAGGAGCAGCAGCAGCATGAGAGGGAGAAGGAGCAGCAGCAGCATGAGAGGGAGAAGGAGCAGCAGCAGCATGAGAGGGATGAGGAGCAGTAACCAAAAGTGTTTCGCCCAAGGCTTGGCATAGTAGGTGCAAAATTGCATATAACAGATTACCGCACCGGGCGCGGGCTTACCAAAACACCCTATGGCCACGCCTTAACCCATCGGACAAACCCACGAGCGTCGAGCCTTTGCACCCCTTGCGCGAGGCCTCGGCGCTGCACTTCACCGTCATCATATTGCACATGCCGCTCAGTAAGGCAAAGACTCGAACTTTTCCTTGTCCCCACGACGTGAGCTACGGACGAGGCCGCATCAAACGTGACTTGCAGAAAAGCACGCCAAATACCCTTGTAAGCAGGGTCACCAGCCCGTACGTACGGAGGTCCCCGGGCCGACCTCCGTACATACGGGTGTTCGGGGTCCGAATCCGAAGGCGTTCGGCCCCCACCAACACTTATTTCGGGGCCTAAAAATAAGGTTTTTTTTTGTTTTTGTTTTTGTGAGTTTTCCATGATGTGAGGTACATTTTGAAGTCATTTAACTAAGTCAAACAAAAATTAAAAATTGCCAAACATGGCGGAGTCAAAACGTGCTCGCCCACTCACTCTTTTGTTTTTTTTTCACTTTTTACTTTTTGTTTTCACTTTATTGTGAGGCCTAAACAATTTTTTTTTTTTTTGAAACTTTTTTAATACGTTGTTTTCAATGTGAAGTACACATCTGTAAATGTTCAGGGCATTTGGCTTTGCTAAAAAAACAATGAAAAATCGCCAAAGATGGCAGTGTTGAAAAAGCACTCGCGCACTCACTAATTTTAATTCTCTTTTCATTTTTTCTTATTTTTCTTATTAGTTTTATTTTCTCTGTTTTATTTTTATTTCAAAATTGGTGAGGAATTTGGATGTAATGCTCAGGCAAATGTTGTTGTCAGATAGAATTTTGACACAACCCCTATTTAACAACCCAACGATGCTTACCCTAGAAGGTATCCCCTTCTTCTCTTTCGGGCCGGGGGCCTTTGGAGACTCATGGATGGCAAAGGGGGTGGGGCCTATCATGGACATTTGGGACATACAGAACGGGAATGGAAACCAGCCCATGTGCTGGCACCGATGCTGATAGGGTTATGGCACCAGAGCCAACACCTCACCACGTTGCAGCGAGCAATTCCACAGCAATGACAACAAAGTCTGAGATCAGGTCTACTCCTTCGACGTGGAGGATGGTACGAGAAAGCAGAAGATCGGAACCCACGACACCTGTGGCAAAGACAGGACATGGGAGAGATGGTGTGTTGGGTTGTGCCATCCTCCCCTCGCTCGTTGGGCTTGGAGATGCAGCTGGTGGAGAATCCTCCACCCCTGCCACAAGAAACGGAGATGCAACCTGTGTGTGTGTTGGAGTTTTCGAAGGGGAACCGCCCCTTTTATCTGTCACAACCATCATATGCACTGTCGGTGGATCCTTGGGACTGGGTTGGATGTTGGACCCCCGGAACCAGCAACCAGTTCTTCTTTATCAGTATACCACAAAGTTTGGCCACAACCTTATGAGACCTCGGTCTGATGTCAACTGGATTGTAGCAAGAAGATGGATGGCTACAGGATGGACACAGGATACGCTGCCGAGACTGGCACAAGGTCTCTCGAGATAATGGAGACTGTTGTTAGATCTTCCGGTAGTCAAACAATCCAGCCACTTGTGGCTCACCTAGCTTTGCCAACCGCCTCTTGGTGTGCTCGACAGACGGCCAAAGCCACACCTTTTTGTAGTCAGTGCCTTGGAATGAGAATTGAGGACTTGCAACACATGTTGCTACACTGTGACCTTTCCCGACCTTTTTGAGAATGGTAGAGACCGGAATCTGTCCCCGCTCCTGGCCCGACAGACAGATGGTCTGATGACTTCATCCTTTATGGTCTGATGACTTCATCCTTTTAGGGGTGGTCACACAACGCCATCAACCTGATGGACCGCCGACCTTCCCAGAAGAGAGCCTTCGAGGGTCTGTACTTTGAACACTATGGACACTCAGGAACTCTGCAATCCATAGGGGAGAAAGACTGACTATGGACACTCAGGAACTCTGCAATCCATAGGGGAGAAAGACTGACTCCGACAATGATAAGAGCTGAGGTAAATTTTTTCTCTTACAGTCCCAAAAAAAGGGTATACATCGAAGGCACTGAAGAATTTTCTTCAGCTTTGGGATAGATTCCTGACTTGCTCAAAGTGCAGTTGCCTCAGGGCACTTATCCACAGCTTGAATTTTCAGCTTTCTTCGTCGCATGACAAAATGTTTTGTTGCACTGACTTCAATTCCCTGAGGATAAAGGTCTCAGCCTACGTACTACTAGACTTTTGTTCTTCTGTTTTTTTTTCTGTTGGTTTCTGAATAGGAATGTGATGAGAATAGAGTTTATCACCCTTTGAGGTCATGATTACATCATTTCTTTTGCTATAAATTTTTGAAAACAAAAAAGACAGAGAATCTGAGAATGATCTGAGAATAGAATGAGATAAAAGTAAACGCTACAGCTTGGTTTGAAGATTCGTCATTTGCTTAGGTTTGTACACTTCTCAGTTGGTGGGATTCTGCGACTCCGGATATGGGCTTGGCCGGTGATGCCTCGCTCTACTTGGGAGCCGACTGTACATATGTGAGGGACGCCAACCCCATTTCCCTGCTTGTATAAAAATTTTGGGACCAAAAAAAATAAAAAATGTTGTTTATTTTATTTTGCTTCATAACCTAGGCTACCAGCCGGGCCGCCCGGGTCCCGGGTGACCAGCCGGTGCAAGGACCAGGGAAGGTCCCAGCAAAATGTCCTGCAGCTCTAATGCAAAGAACATCACAATCTTTCCGACGCTCGCGTCCTTTGCTTCGAAATCTTGCCCAATGCACCCCCCTCTCATCTTTGTCTGTGCTTGGCCGTAGACAACTGCGTTCCTCCTCACCACCCCCATCTCCTCCACAGTCTCGCTTGCGAACAGACTCTCCAGTTTCCATTGTCCCCATTGTTCCACCTGCGTTCCTAGGTACGAGTTCAACTTCTGTTTGCAACACCACTACTCCTCTTGTTGTGTATCACTGACGGCATCCGCGGCATCGCCACTTGTCCGGGGATCAGCAACCTGTTTCTTTGTCTGCCCCGATTCTCTTTGTGCCTCCTCCACAGGTTGTTGCGGTTCCTTTGTTTCAAACGGCAATATCCGCTCCCATGACTCAGGCAGCCACCAGTCCCTACTCAGGATCCAGCCGCTGCCCAGAGTACACTCCCGACTCCAGGTATAGTCCCTACTCAGGATGCAGCCCTAAACGTTGAGGGATAGGAACATGATCTGCCCGGATCGCAGTTGACCCCACAAGGCGTAGACCACATGGGGGATCTGCACATGGCTGACCTGCATTGTGCGGATGAGACACAGTTTTGTGCTCCGCCACACGCAAACCACATGGGTGATCTGCAAATGACTGACCAGCAAACAACCCAACACAGTTTGGGCTTGCAACACCATCTGGGTGATCTGCAAATTGTTGGCCAGCATCCAACAAACCAGCCTGAGAACCTCACCAATCTCTGTGGTTTGACAGCAACTAATATATGTCTTCACATTTTCCATCGCCCGTTTTATACACCATTAGCTTAATGCTGATCTTCCCCAACGACAACCAGAGGATTGCAATTATACCAGCGAAGGAGGCTTTACCATTGCTGTCCTACAAGTAGCAATGAGGGACCGTCAACTTGAACTACGCAATGCTCGAGGAGGTGAGTGGTTTAATCCTCCATCCCACATCTCTGCCTGCATTTTGCACGGCCCTGGCCATTGTACATGCCTCTGACCATTGGGAGCTATGGGACAACGGCACCATGGTCCATGCCATGATTGATGTCACTGATTTCTTACAAAATGATGTAACAGTTGTTTTCTTGCCACAACAAACCGTCTGCAATCTCTTTTATGTCGAAGATCATTCCTCTGGCCCCGTGCTGCAGCAAGACAATGCACCAACACTCTGCGACCTTCTCCTTTGCACAACCACAAACACTGTTACACTCGGCTGTAGTAGCCGCCATCGTCTCTGTCACAATCACTACAATGACATGGTTTCTGCATCCATGTGTGCAGAGAACTGTCCCACCGTTCCTGACTGCAGGCACCCTCCGCATCCGGACACTATACGTCCATTTTGCGGCTATGGGCGCTATACTGAGTGCATGCTCTTTTGTGGTGACCGTTCTTCTTTCATTTTGGCCTGAAATCGACATGCCATTTGTCGGGGGTGTATGGCGGGCATGCTCACTGCCACCCATCGTGGCAATTGTTGCACTGAGAATGCTCAGCTAGGTCTTGCATGTGTTCATCAACGTCATCCTTACAATGTATGTCCTCTCTGTCGTCAAGGACAGACTCATTCTTGAGCCTTTTCTTATCCTCTTTTGCCTTCATCTTCACTCCACACTCCATACTTTCCTTTACTTTCCCTTTATTGTTCTTTGTTTGTCTGCTCTCCAGCTCTCCTCCCTGTGTTTATCCCCCTTCACTCTGCCTCTTTCTCACAGCGTACAAGTGGGCTGTTATAGCACACGGGGATGGGGGCAGCTCGCGCTCAACTTCATCAACATGGCGAGCCTTGTACGTGAGAGGCACAGTGAAAGGGGAGTCCAAAGAAAAAATGAGTAAAATGAATGGTTTCACTGTGCCCTTCATGTTTTTTTTTTTTTTTTTTTTTTTTTTTTTTTTTGCCGTTTGTTTCGCAAATTGCGCTCTTTTAGTTCATAGTTATGTGACAATATATATATATATATATTCCAAAAAAATCGAAAAAAAAACAATGTTATGTAGAAAAATAAACTGGAACTTTTTTGCCTCAAGGTCACATCGAAATTCTTCACCAAATTTAAAATAAAAAATAAAATTTAAAAATTGTATATCGTTAGGGTCACCAGCCCGTACGTACGAAGGTCCCCGAGCAGACCTCCGTACATACGGGTGTTCGGGGTCCCGTACGGGGTCCGAACCCGACGGCGTTCGGCCCCCGCCAAAAATTATTTCGGGGCCTAAAAATATATTTTT